AGTGCGTGCACAAAACGATTGTAGATAAAAACGTAACGTACGTTTCCGAAGATTTTTTTGAAAGAGTGCTAACATCTTCTATCTCTATATATTTGGCATTGTGGCCTAATTTTTTATTGCCATCATCCTATTCCCTTTATCGTGGACGTCCAGTAAAAAGTTGCCCAAAAAGGGTGGTCTTAGTTTTCCAAACGCAGGCTGACTTCCTACTTGGACCAAAAAAGTAGAAACCATTTCACTATGTTGCTTATTTCGTGTTCCTCTTGTTTATTTCAAGCCCTAGATTTGAAATTCAGTTTTGATACCTTATCACAATTTGGGCCTTCAAGGAGATAAAAAATGGTGCAGTCGCAAAACGTTTGCAGTCACTATGTGAAAACACTTTAATACTGACCAAACAGATTTCGTTTTTGGAACTGCGCAGAGAATTCACCAATGATAAGCAGAAAATCTACATTTGAGTGATAAATCATATGGTTTTCTTTCAAACCCACATCGGAATATGCATGCCCTCGGTTTTATTATGACGTTTTGTTCAGTGTTTATCTCATACAGTTAAAGACAGCTAATTTATCAATGAGTTGACTGCAGATTTTTCACACAAGGGTAATAGCTTTTGATGCTGCTGCTGAAGGCAAATTCCACGAGAACGTAAAATTGTTTTGCTGAATTTTTGATTGACAAAGCATTTCGAAAAACCTCTTTCAAATCACAAGATTTTGCGGCTTTGTGTGCAAAGCAATGTTAAGATGCAATCTTATTTCACTGAATGTGTTAAATGTGTGATGAATTTTTTTGCAACAAAAAATGGATAGATGTAAAAGCGGACGACAAAAATGACCCCATAATATCACATTTTAGTTTAGTTTAGCTCAATTTGCTTACCAATTATTATTATGTATTTTGCGTCAAAATAAAGGTAATTTCTATTCAAAACCCGAAAGCTCTCAATTAGTTCGGAACTTACAATGTCCATTATGTTCACTTCATCTATTAAACCTTGCCACCACTACCGTGGGAAATATATGAACTGCCAATAATTTGCTGCTAGTATCAATATATGATTTATCGTATTCTGCGTTACTGCTCAATAGTGCATTTGTAGTAGTTGAGTTCATCACTACCTTACCACCCTCTAGTAAGTGGCCAGTAACTACTCAAGGAGAGTTTGCAAAAGAAGCGGTAGAGGAAATGACTGCTTAGTAGTGTCACACCAACCAAGTGTCTTTGTGTGCGAATGAGTACAGACGACTGGTCGAAGAAGCCAAAACTAAGGATTCGATTCATTGGTGCAGTCGGGTTATCATGCACGCACAACTCACGCGAGGTGGTTTTCTGTCCATTGCACACTGTCAAAGCCATTTTGAATCGGTGCACTTTGACGCCAATTATATAGGTTGGCTTGTTGTGTCGTGACCAATTTTTGCGTTCCATTGCATGTCACTCAGTTGAAATGCCTGCAAATATCCATACAAACTCACTTTTTATTGGTTTTTTACTAATGAGCGTTAATTCGCAAATATATTCATAGCAATGCACGGGTCGCAGGAATATTAGATTTAAAATTTAGTGAAGAATAGAATCAAAAGATCAAACAAATAGATGTTGTTAAATTACTAGTTCCAGATTATAAATTGAAAAGTATGCTGGTATCCATATTTAAAAACACAGGACAAGCAGTAGCCGTTTTATTATACGTAAACAAATGCGTAGGTTCACTACGATTGCAAAACCAACGTTAAGGCCTACTCATAGTATAAAAAATTGGATGAGGGCATTAGAGCCTTTTGGAAACTCAGTTGAGGTGAAACCTAGATTTGTTATCTGTTGTAGCAAATTAAATTTAAAAAAAACTTTTTGTTGTAAATTGTTTTTTTAAGTGAACCAGCTTTGGCAACCAGAAATGCTGAATGAATAACTAAATATTTTGGTGAATCCACAACAGTGCAAGATAGTTCTAATCTAAAAGGTTTTAAATAATGACGCAGGCTCAAATCAATCGCAACAAGCTAAAAGAGAATGCATTTTCATTTTAACTGCACTACAGTCTAAGATGTAGCTTTATTAAGGCTTTCATTTCACTGTCATGTCAAAGACGAAAAGCACCTGTTCGTAAAAGGTTACCGTATATTCAGAATGATTCAAAAAGTGGCACTTTAAAAGCATTGTTCTAGCGATATCGTGATTTCCACAACAGATGGAGACATTGGTTTAATAGTAATTTTGCGATACACGATTTAGACAATAAAAATGTCTTTTATACAAAATGCACACAAAATTATCAGTTTTTAAATCATTTACGCAGGTATGAAAATTGCGTAGAAGTTTGGTTTAAGTAAAAACATATTACAAAATTCAACAGTTGTATGAGTAAAAATAATTCCATGGAATCCTTAAAGATGGTGTTGTTTGCCAGTTCGTTCTACTGAGCATCAACTTGTCTCAAACATTGTTGTAAATTTAATGTTGTCGCCTTCAACAAATTGAGAATGTAGTTTAGTTGCTGCTGCTGAAGGCAAATTTCACTAGACCATGAAGTTGTTTTGCAGAATTTCGAGTGTCAAAACATATCTGAAAACATTTTAAAAGCACATGATTTTGTTGCTTTATGTGCAAAACAACAGTTTTATGCTCAGGCGCAACCATATTTCATTAAATCATTTGAATGTAGTATAAGTGCTATTTGTAAAATCGCCTCTGTCAACTATTTTATTAGTAATATCAACACGTCTCAGACAATGTTAGCAACTCAGTAATATCTCTCTTAAAAATTGTGAATACGGTGCAGTTTTGTTAATAAATAAGCATTTACGCTTAAACTTTTTTTAAACGCGATCAGACAGTGCAACGTAAAAGCACCGAATGAGCTTAAACGGACAACGGTGAACATGGGTATCTTAAACGTCTAAGATTAGTCTCAGAGGAAGCTGCAAAGCGCATTAAAATGGACAAGTAACAAACGTCCTGATAAGTGCCAAAATATTTCATATCATTTCAGTTTGTATTCAAAGAATAATATTTGCGACATCTATCATTTGTTTGTTATTTATTGAACCCTATCAACCGAACAAAATTCTAACTTGAATTACAATGCGTCTGTAATTTAAACTAGTCAAGTTTAATCACGATTAATAAATATGTTTTGATAAAACGTTATCCTTAACCAACCCTGATTTCGACTCAAAACTGGTCCTGCATCCCGAGCTCATATTAATTTAGGGTCTGCTAAAAATTTACTTACTTCCAATTTATAGATGGCGTGTATCCTGATTTATTTCAGTTAAAACTTAATTTTAAGCATGGTTTCACGTGAAATTGTCACGTTTCACCCACATTATGACACGTTTAGCGATGCGAACTTTATGCGCTGACATTTATTTGAATTCATAAATGTATACTCAAAATCATGGAATTGCGCACACCCAGTTGCGTTTATTTAAAAGTTGAATCAATTTATGTATATAGAGCATTGACATTTTGTTTTCATGGTATGATTTTACTTTGGAACGACGTTTATGTATGTCGGTGTTGTCACTTCGTACATCCGGCAAACAGGCGAAATACACGAAAAGAGGAATTTTTAACTGTAACAAAATCACAAATCAGGATAACGTTGATTGTGTCATCTTGTGGTTTGGTTCGCAGTTTAGGCTAGTAACCTTGATATTTATTTGTTTAACAGTGCATTAATTACTTTTAATCCGGCTCACCAACATCAAGCTACTTTAATAAGGTTCCTCGTGTAAGAATATCTTGCGGTTGCAAAAAAGCTACAAGTCTATTCTAGCTTAATCTAATTGAAATGGCACTTAAGGTGTAATAATTCCCGCGTGTCATTTTGTATTACAATACGTCATTTAGATTTGTCCAATTTGGCTATGATCCATATTAGTAAATCTGAACACATGGTTTGGCTTCGAATTTGCAAATAAGGTGGAACCAGATAATTTAATGCTCGATGTAATTTTAAGGAACGCTGCCTGCTAGTTGGATTATGACATTTGCAGTTTTCAAAAAATGGATTGTAAAGTAGTATGCAGAAAAACAAATACATCCATAACACATCAGTCGACTTGTTTGTGTCGAAAAGAAGAGGACGCTAGAAGATGACATTTGTTAAAGTACGTTTTCAAATACAGAATACATCAGGCTTAAATAAATGTCATGGAGTCAATGATTAAAGTGCCATATAAACTTAAATTACAGACTCCGCCTTGACAGTATCCATTCTAGAATATGTTTAACTTAAATGACATTCTTCAATTTCTAAGATTTTTTTAAAAAAACGGCATTGTGACATGTAAAACAATTCCTTTGGTTCACTTGAATACGATTGCTGCAAAGTTTCTTAATTAAAATAAATGCTTTGTTTTGCATCTTTTGAAAGGGATGTTTTTAAAATCAAGCATCTCGCGTTTATGACCTTGTTAGTTACGAATGAGTAATCGGCAAGGTAGAAAAACGTTCTGTCAACGTGATCAAATTTTTCATGCCCATTGGATAAAATATCGTATATATTTCTGCAAACAATTCACGTAATTTAACTTTGCCGGTTTCAGGTCGTCTGCATTACCATCGAAAAAATTGTGATCGACGCGGTCAACTATATTGTGTCCTTGCCTAAATATGACCCGAATAGTTGGACTGTTGATTTTGATATCACAAGTGATGGCACAAGTACCAACACGAGCTGAACGTCGTGCCATTCTCGAATATCATACTCAAGTGCGTGAAAATGTTCAGCCACCTGCCAGCAACATGGAACTGATTGTAAGTTAAAAACACTTTTTTTGTATTTTACCTGCGCATGCGTGTGCTTATTTGCCTGAGTAAAACATTTAAAAAGCAAATCTGAAAACACTGCGCCATGTGTGAGCATGTAAATGACCACCAGCAATTGAGAAAATAACGTGGAGATTGCCAACAATTGCCATCAACATCAATTTACATGAACCTGTATTACAGAAAACGAGCAGATTCTAAGTCAACATTTCAGAAAAATGGCGGCCTTTTCTTTGGTAAAATACCGTCTCAGTGCAGCAATCAAATAATTTACCTTACAAATAGCAAATTCAAATAATTGGCGGTGGATGCATAGGACCACCTTGTCTGATCATACATTTTTACGGAGTAGCGTTGCAAATACAGCATGTGTTTTTCAATATGTTTACATTATATTGCCATTTAGAACTATTCTATAAAATTGGAAAGATTGGCCATGGAATGGGCTGCACAATGTCGTTGGGAACACCCAGATCCCAACTACTATACTCAGTACAAAGGCATCGGACAGAATCTTGCATTAAAAAGTGGCCCCAAACAGTCATTTCCACAGATGGCTACAATTTGGTACAATGAAGTGTTCAACTATACATATCATTCCAGACGTTGCTCCAGTGTTTGTGGACACTACACACAGGTAGGTCTTCACTTATTGTGAGTGTTTTCAAAAAATCATCTAATTGCAAGCGGACAGAGTTTTTTTCTGCCTTACATTGGCTAATATTTCCGTAATTCTGTGATGGTCGTGTTTGGTGTTAAAAAATACCAGGACTGACATGAGACAGTGTGTTTTTGTTAATTTGGCAGATGGTGTGGGCAACTACGACAGAAATAGGCTGTGCAATGCAGCGATGTGACAGTCTTCGGCCAGAATGGACTCCACCCGTTTATCTTATGGCTTGTCAATACGCCCCAGGGTAGGTCAAGACTACTTGGTGGTAATTTACTCAACGTATAAAAATATAACATGGCCAAAAATTTCGGCTGTTAGACTTGCTGCCAAGACATGCGTAGTGACATAAAACAGTATTTTTTTTTTATTTAATTAAAGGCTGCTTTATTTGCTTTGCTTTCGCACAGTGGAAATTACATCGGGGAATGGCCCTACAAAGCTGGTCGTCCTTGCAGCGAATGCCCCTGGAAATATGCATGCGCCCGCAATCAGTGTGTCAAGGTTCACAAAAGGCCTAAACCACATCCCTGAGCAGCTGTGCAAGAAATCGCTTAAATCTTCTCACATTACATTCCTTGTCTGTTCACTTTGTGATAACAGCTTATCATTTCCTCATTTCTTAAATTTTCCACATAAATAACAAGTGTCCACAGCTTATTTCGTTTTGTGCCACTTTCGGTCGAAAGGTTTGGTGTGGCTTGCAACGGATACCAAACAACGTTTTAGTTAACATTCCAAACAATCTCGAGGACAGAGTAAGTAGAGGCAGTGGGGACATGTGTGTATTTAAGCGTGGTTGAGTAAGCTGGTTAATGTAAGTCGGATAAAAGTAAGCTATTAATTTACACCTTCGGGCACAAGATTAGCAGCTGATGCTACAATAAAAATGCCACTTGTGGTCATCAAATTCCACGTAAGAGCCATTAGTAAATTTGAGCATTTTTCGATCCTCCCGTGCAATGTTGTGTGTTCGGGAACCAGTGAGCATTTGGTAAATTAAATAAGAAATCATCACATTTCAGCGACAATGTAGCGAACAATCAATGATGCATTTATTCGTCTTGAAAGATATGTATGTATTCCTGTGTAAAAAGGTCAAGAACTATTTTTTGACAACATAATTAGATTTATGTGTTAAAAAGTGACAAGGCGATAGCAAAGGTGTAAGTTGGGTCTTAAATAGGTTCTTGTTTAGTGTGACACGTTCAAACTAATATATATCAAACCAAAATTAATATTTGAATATTATTCTCTGAGCAACATTTCCAAATTTTAAGCAATATTTTTTTTTGCATTTGACCAGTGCATATTAACCCAAGACAAATTCGTTACAAAATTTATACCTAGAAATTACCTTCACTGGCACAGAATAGAAACTAATGTGCCTGCTTTGTCTGAAGCACCCTAAACTTATCCGTTGGCAACATTAAGCGATGTTTGTCTACTCATGACTGCAGATACATAAAATTATTTTGTTACCTAGGAGGAGGCAGATTGATACTGAAATACGATGTTGCTTTTTCCTTCCATGCAAACCTAACAAAAGAACATATTCTGTTTTTTGACGTGAATTTAAAGACACTTTAACTGCATACTCAGACAAATATTTCACCAGTAATTGTAAAGAAGCCGATAAGGAAAAGATGGTTGGTGAGTGATGACGTAAGTAAAATTAAAGTTTAGTTGCGAAATTACTTTAAGCTTTATCGAGAATTGCTCAAAGTAAATAATAAATGCGATTGATAAGCGCCAAGGAAACGGTTAATTTAAATGTAGAATTGAAATAGATCATAAATCGGACAATTTGATTACTTCTGTAACGTTTCCACATGTAAGTATTCAATTTGCTTTGATCCTTTTAGGCAAATGTTATCAAAAAACGCACAATTCAGTTGCTAGCAATCAAATATAGGATCATTAATTGACCTAGAACATTCAGCGTTTGCAAACGAAGTCATTGTCGTGAATCCTATTTATTCAACCCCTGAATCCGGTCGCTCCACCTCCTAAAAAGGGTTCATCTTTTCGCAGCATGTCGCCAGCCGCGCGAATTCTCAAACCCCTCTTCATTGGCACGAACATTTATCCTGGAGTATCCAACACATGGGTCCCAATGTTGGCGCATTTATGACTCACTCATCTGAAGTATAAATACACACACGACACAAGAACACCAAACGTGATTGAGCTCTG